ATGTAAATATTACATATGCTAATTAACGAATGCTCTAGATGCAATATTGCTCTAATTGTATCAGGATAGTAAATAAGTAAAAAATATTATATTATATTCGTAATATTTTTGAAATATTGCTGTAATATTGCTAAAGTAATATTTTAAATTAATGTCACTGCAATGTCTCTGCAATACTGCACTGCAATATGCAATGTTGCAACGTTATTGTTATAAATATATTTATAAGAAAATATATCTATAAGAATAACAAATTTATCTTTCTATTCGAAAAAAAAATTCGCCTATAATATGGTAAATTAAACGTTATCATAACATTATTTTGCAAAGTCATTTTGACGTCTTAAAACATGACGTTAAATACACGTCCTTAAAGGACACATGACATTACTGATTAATAATGACGACAAATTGACGTCAAAATAACGACAGCTTGCTGCCTGGGTGATCTATACTAGTATATATAAAAAGTTACTGTTAGTAAAATTATTAATAAAAACATTAACTTGATTACTAGAAGCTGTATATTCCATATAAATAAATCCATATATATTCCATAAATATTAACTATAAATCCATAAATATTAACTATAAATTAACAATAGATAGAACAATAAATAGTATAGATAACAATGACATTACCGTGACCTTCTAATAACATCATAACATCATATTCAGTGACATCATAATTTTTCTGTGATATTGTGACTTTATTGTGAGTTTATTATGATGTCACTGTGACATTTTGTGCTATGTTGGTTAGTTACTAGAAACCAATATAAAGTTATATTATTTGCTAAACGATTATATAATGGTTATATAACTTGAATATATAAACAAATAAATAATATAATAGTTATATAACTAGTATTTTAGTCGTAATGAAATTGTAACATAATCGTGTTATGAAAATGGTCTTCACCCAAATTCGCACAGAGAATTCAAAAAGAATTAAGTCGTATGTCAATAAGTCTGAGTTAATTTTTAGATGCAAAAGTAATTCTTTTCAGGACAGTTTCAGGACTAAGTTCTGAAAAGAATTCCTTTTGCATCTCAAGATGAACTCAGAATTAGTGACATACAACTGAATTCTTTTTTAATTCTCTGTGCTATCTGTGTAGTAAACGCAAATCTCAGAAATAACTGATTCCTGAATTAATTCTAAACAAAGTTACAAGCAATGTTGTGTATGATCGTAAAAATGTCTTATAGTATAAAATGTCATGTAGTTTTATTTAGAACCCGGGAAAAAAAATTCAAATAAAAGCCAGATATGGATTTTGTCAAGATCTGATCAGATATAATCAGATCTAACGTTATATATGATTTAGATCTATCCATATATAATCATATATAATCAGCCCACACAGCAGAAATATCCCGAATACATTACAAGGATATTATAAAGATATCTCAATATCTGTAGGATATCTCTATGATATATTCGGGACATTTTTGCTGTATGGGATATATAATTGTATATATGATTATATCCCAGGCAGCAACGTGACGTGATTTTCACGATTTTCAGTTTTTGGCCATTCGTGACGTCAATTATCCTTTTATACTCACGTAATAATGATGTGAAAATGACCAGAATAAGTCACAGTCCACCCATGTCATAATAAAACGTGAAAATGACGTCATAAAAAGACGTAAAAATGACATGTCGGAATATCCTTATTCGGTTCTATTTTCTAGTAGAAACTATTTGTAAATGTCGTAGCGTTTGCTGATTTTACTTGAAAATTTTAGGTTACTTAATTCCAATGTTACATCACTTTAAAAATTCTCACTGGCACTGAGACTCGAATTTGGACCATGAGACATCTCTGGATTATGAGTCTGTTGCTTTAGACTACTTCTACACTACTTCTTTGATCGATATAAACGTCTTACATTTTATCTATATATATTGTACTTAACACAGTGTAATATAATTTTTTGATAAAATGATTTAATTTTAATAAAAATTATATTTTTCTTCGTATCTTTATTGTGAATTTAAACTCTAGCTCTCTCTAATGAGGTAAGGTCTACAAAATTTTACACATTCCATTTCGTTATCTTTAAATTTTTATAGGAAAATGTTTTTATTGTTAAATGTTATTAAATAGACAAAGTCATAAAAAACTATAAACTTATAAAATTATAAAAGAGTATTATTAATTTAATAAAAGAAAAAATCCACCTTACCATATAAGATTTAATTAAATTAATTAAATTTATGTATATATATATAAAAATATACAAATTAACCCAAATAGCCAACTATCTGTGAGAATTCTCTATGAACTTCTATTTATCTCTGTGCTATCTGAGTCAACATTTTCTCATTAACATATCTTTGAACATTATCCTACTAACTGGATAATTGCAACGATACAATGCTTGTGAATAAGAAATGGTAGAACAAGTTCTATAAGGCTTATTCTTAGGAGTCAAATGCTTGAGATGCAAACACATAAAAAATAAATAACAACGTGTATAAATAATAATCTGTTGGTTACATAAACCACATTTGATATAAATGAATATTAGGTAAATATCTGTCACATTCTCTACTTATCGAACAGCTGATTAAAATGACCTCTCAAAAACGTATTATAGATCTTTAAATGAGGTCTTTAAATGACATTATTATCACGTCAAAATAATCACGTCTTTTAAACGTCAGTTATTGGTTACATGACATCTAGGACTGGTAAACATCATTTATCAATGTGAAAATGACGTGACGTTGCTGCACAAATATTATTATATGTGGACAGATCTGAACCATATATAACCATATATAATTATATATGATTATATCTGATCAGATTTTGACAAAATCCATATCTGATTTTTGTCTAAACTTTTTTTCCTGGAAAGTAACTCAGGAATCAGTTATTTCAGAGATTCGCCAATATTTGATTCTGTTCTGTGTTATGTCCTTGATTTCTTGGTTCTGTTCCTTGCTATATACATGATTCTGTACCTGGTTCTATTATGACTTATCTGGTTTTGTTATGGCTTTGTATAAAACTCATAGCACTGAGCAGAACTATATAATAACTATAATGCTCTAAATGGGCCAGTTTTTTAATTCATCAATGGATCCATCAATGAATTAAAAAACTCAACCAATGTAGCCATATCTACTCTCAGGCTTCTCTCTACTTATAGTCTTGATACACTGCTGCAATGGATGCATTCAGTACTACAACTGTTCACTGAACTTAACACAGCACTTAACACATAACTTTAACACTTAATCTTTCTTGCACCTAATCTTCATGCACGATACATTTGACAAGTATATTATATATATATATATATATATATATATATATAACATGTTTATATAACACGTTACAACATCAAACTATTGATAACATTGCACTTGTTACATTACATGTTATGATCAGGTTATATTGCTGTTATACTGTTATAACCCGTACATAACAAAGCAATATAACAGTTTTGAAACACAGGTATATTACAGTTATTACCGGATATTATAAAATATCAACATAAATAGCGTATAACAGCTGTTATATTACATGTTATTTCTGTGTTATATAGCATATTCTGTGTTATATATTATATTCTGTGTTTGCTGGGAAATATCAAAAAGATTAGCAAGATCCGTACACAAGAATGTTTTATTAAATCTTCGCCTTACTAAGACCTGGTTGCACCAACAATATTTTGGCTTTAAGCAAAATTTAAACATATATCTATCATTATCTTTCTTTCTATATAAATAAAGATAGACATATATTTAAGTGTCACTTAAAACAAAAATAACATTGGCAACCAGGCCTAAATGTATGAGTCTACTATATACTAAATGAATATTGAAAAGATTAACAAAAGGCCCTTATGCAAAATAGAACGTATGAATCGCACACAAAAACAACATACGTTTAACATCATGTGAGATGTATTTTTCTTTTTTTTTAGAATGTTACTTTTATCAAATCAGGGAAAGCTTTGCCTCCCCCCACAATCCCCTTGGCCGGGGACTTCGTCCCCTGGACCCTCAGTT